GATGATCTTTATCGGTCACCTTCTTGCAACCTGATGATCCTCTTTCCTTCCCACAGCAGGAAAATATCTTTTTCTTGGTGGCTTCCTTGCCGGACTTAGTAATTAAATTTATGAATGGGATGTCTCCAATAACTGCGTCTGCTGCTTCCCATCCGGAGTCATATTCGGTCTCGAGATAACCGGGATGCTCATATCTTGAGTTATCAATTGTTTCTATCTTTTCGTCGTGTTTGTGTTTTACTTTGGTATGGCATGGGTATTTATCTTTTAGCCTTAGATCAGTTTTTATTCCGCATTTGATACACGTTGCATCATTAAAGACGATTTGGATTGGATGGTGTTTATGTTTCTTCTCCTTTATGATGTTCTCATAAACATTCAGCAGCTCCTCCTTCTTGTAGATTCCTTTTATGTTTTCATATTCACTTTTTTCCTCAGGATTGACTGCCTCGTATAAATACACAGGCATCATATGAATTTTAGTTATATCAGCGTTATTATTAATTTCCGTGATAGCACCTATAATGGCATTTTTTTTAAATAGAACATTTAACCCCTTGTAAACTACTATTACATTATTCCAGACATTATTTGTATTGCTCATCCCAAGACCATCGATAAATTTGGCTTGATTCTGAAGAGAAGTAGTCGATGTATCTTCATTCACAAACCAAAACAAGGTATGTATATCGGTGATTTTGTTCTTTTGCATTGTGGATACTATATTGATGATTGTATAATCGTCCGTTACGCGATCGCTGTCGTCGAATCCAGGTGTATCAATATAATTATAATTTCCACATTTGTGGATCGTTACGTTCTTTGTTGTTGAATTTGAATTTCCAGTGTCGCGAACTTTCGCTTTGCAACCAAATAGTGTAGCGGTAAAGCTTTTACCAAGGCCGGTTTTGCCGATTGCAAGAATTGTTACCTGGATGATATATAAACTTATTTTATCATACATAACATACAACTCTCAGAAAAATTCTTAAAATACTTACTGAAGATATCGACGGACTAACAATGCATAACAAAAGAACGAAAAAAATTCTTAATGACATTTCTTCTGATAAGTATGGGCTGTTTAAACGAATTTATTATAGCGAGAGAAATACGCACCGTTACTGTATTTATATCCGATCAAAATTGATTTCCCAAATAGACATACAAAGAACTTCTTTTCTTGTTTATGTTATCATTCATGTACCGGTATATGTACATGTACATACATCCCTAAAAGGAAATTTTCGGTCCATATTCCAAATCTCACCCATATCACGATTCAAAATCTCAATAAATTTTAATTAAATAATCTATTTATAACTTTTAAATTTAATTATTTATTAAAATTTAAAAAACAGGCATTTTTTGCAACCTATTAAAAAAATGAGCCGATAAAGTAACAAGCCTAACCTAATTTATTCTCTCTCTCTCTCTCTCTCTCCAAAATCCAATAATAATTATACATGTACCATTCATTTTTATGGTTAATTAAAATTATTCATAAAAATCTAATTCAATTGATTTTTATCAGGTTTAGATCAATTTTTAAAATTCTAGCAAACACCTAAATTTCCAGGATAAGATCTGGTTTCTCAAGATTCCCTAAACAAAATCGGATGAAAATACCATCAATAGATTCATCTGGTCAAGAGGAATAAATTGTCTTCAACAAAATTCGAATTCTCCTCTTCGTATAAGTTTATTTTCTTCATGATTCTAATATTATTTTACTGGTCCATCCGGCCAGATTGCTTTATAAATTTTCCCAAAACCTCCTTTTGCAAGGTATTTAACGTTGGTAAATCTTGCAAAATGAATCCATTTGAATGATCCCACATCTTTAACTTTGTTGCATTCTTTTATTAGATTATCGATATCTTTATCTCCGCTAGACAATTCATAAATTCGTTTGAGACATTTGAAAATTTTATAGATACTTATTTTTTTGACAACACCAATAATTACTATAATCATGCAATTCCATCACTACCAAATATTCATTTGTAACTGGATTTTGAGCTATTCCGTAATCAAACATATCGTCATCATCTTCACGTTAGCATTTAAGAGCAGCTCTATTGTTGAAAAATTTGATTACATCAGAATAAAAAGCAAGGCGCAGGAGCAGGAATGAGATCCAAACTTGGATATATAGCAAAATCAGATGCATTTGATTTCTCTCCTCCGCCAGGACAATAGTGTGCTATAATAGATCACGAAAATATTATAAAGCTAATAACAAGACAAAGATCAAGAACTTGTAGGATTTCATTTACCTACAAAATATTTATTGGAGGATAATAAAAACATCACCTTTAGGAACATTGAAATAATGAAGTAATTTAACAACTGATGCATTCATTTCTTTTCTCATCTCGATTATAAATACGTTTCCCTCTGAATCTATTTTCAAACTTATATCCAGTTGTTTCATGACGTTCGAAAAAGAAAGTGTCAATTGCTTCTATTGATACCTTCCAGCCAATCTGTAAAGGCAAACTACAATCCAAATGAGTTATTTATAGGTGGATCTTAACCACCTTAACCATTTGCATGGTGCCTATTTACTCCTGCTCCTCTAGAAGTCTTTTTTTTTGCGCACTGATAATTTTATTTCTAGGATTAGAAATTTGTTCATTATTCTATTGCTCTTTATGTATAGGAAAATCTATCTTGTGCAATACATCACATGAAGGATGCGGATCTTGTAAATTAGGATACATGTAATACTTTATTGTGACGAACCACAAAAAGCATTTGAATGGTACGCCGTCTTAACGCACAATATAATCTTGCAATCTTTTATCAAAATGAAAAATGAGCAACAAAAAGCATTCGAATGGTACTTAAAAATAATAAACCAAAGAGATACGATGGATTTTATAATCTTTTTATTGTATAATAATATTAGAGGTGATATGATAAATAAAAAGGTTAATTTTTATAATTTTATTAACCTATGCGAGGTGCGATATCAATTATTTGAGAGGAAAAGCATGAAGGCCGATCTCCTTATTTACTCGTTTTTGTAGAGTTTAAGAAACAGCGTGTGAATGAGGGATACTTCAATTTGCAAGGCGAAAGTGGGAATGCTTTGATTATATCGTTAAAATGGGGAAATTATTTCATCAATATTATCAGTTTATGCTAACGACTCGACTCAAATCGACCAACTTGTAAAAAAGGTCGACTTTTTAGAGTCGGTCGGCTAAGTCAATCATATTAAGTTTTTATGCAACATTATGCATAATTATTAAATATCATCTATTACATTTATTGCATCACGAATTTTATATTGAATGTGTTATAAGTTAAAAAAATGAATGAATTTTTCTTTGACGATTATGAAGATGATAATAATGTTTTAGAAGAATATAGCTGAAATGGAAGAGATAGTATTTGCTGAATCATCTGATACAATATTAATGAAGTGAACAATTTGAAATTGACAAAACTAGCACTGAAAATTCAGATAAAAATATATTGGAAGTTTAACAATATGTTAATAAAGATGATCCCCAACCATCATTATTATCAGATATGCAAATTTATATTTTCACCAAAAACCAGTACATCAAAGCATATGAGAACAAAATCAAACCAAAACACATCCTGAGAAAGAACAGCAATTCTTGGATCATGCATGTAACCTTTTTCAGTAGTCAATAATATTTTATTTCATAATTTATTAAATAAGCTCGATCCACTATTTACAATCCCAAAATGCCAAATCATACACAATAAAATTTTACTAGACAGCGAATTAAACTTAATACTATTATTAGTAATATTCCTGATAAAGCTTCAATAACTATAAACATGTGAACTAGCATCAAAATGAAAAGTTTTATAACAATTACCATTCATTTTGTTGATAAAGATTGATATTTATATAATTTTTCTCTAGAAATTTCCAAATTTCAAGGATCTCATACAAGTATAGTAATTTGTAAGTATACAATGAAAACTCTAAAAGAATTTGATTTGACTCAGAAAATTACTATATTTATCATAGATAATGGCTCAAATAAAATTTCAGTATATCATCAAGTAAAACAAAGACTCAATCTAAATAATATTTCAGTTAAATTCTAATTATTATTGTATATATTATATATTGAATCCTGCAGTTGGAGATGGATTAAAAAAAGTGAATGAATATCAAATTTTTTGACAAAAACATGATAATTATTGGATTATTATATTTATCAACTGTAATTTACCTCCTCATCTTTATGTTAAAAAAAGAATCTTTTAATTAGTGCAATTATTTCTGGGTTTAAAGCTTCTAATAATATGAATAGTTTTTTTGTACCTATAATAAATGAATTAAAAAAACTTGAAGATATGTAAAAAATTATTATATTTTTAATATTTAATTGAAAGTACTAAATATATATATTTAATTAATATAGTTGGAGTTCAAATTTATGACAAATTTACAAATAACAATTTTACTTTACAAGCACATGTTCTTCTATAGATGGGTGATATGCCTGCAATTTCTAAATTAGTTAATTTAGTCATAATTCTTATATAGATTGCAGATTTTATAATCTGCATGAAGTATATTCTCAATACATTTATTATTCTCTTCAATATAAAGATTTAATAATTATCCTTATAAGCTTCCAAATCAAAATCGTGAAGAATATTTACAAGATGTTGAAAAAATATTAGAAAGAGGTAATGATTTATCTGTGATTTTATTTAAATATAAACTAATTAAAATTTTTATTTTAAGAAATTAAAGATTCATGTGTTTTATTTCAATTAAAAGCTACTTGTTTTCTTGATTCATTTTCAAGTAATATTATGCATCTTTTTTTTGAAGAAATTGCATCTGCAATGTTATGATATTGGTAGGAAAATTACTTTAAAGATGAAGATTTAAATAATAATATTTATATAATTGATAAAATAGCTTGGAATCAAATTGGAAAGATAAGACTAATAATTCAAAAAATATGCCAATGGAATTTGGTCATCCACCTATTCATATATCACACTCTAGAGCTTTTAAAGCTGAAGAGTGAATTAATTGGACAATACCATATTTGATTCTATTACTTTTATCATATTTGCCTGCCAGATACAATTTATATTATTTGAGTTATAAAACTTGTTAATATATTAATTATTTTTATATCGATTTTTAAATCATTGGGAAAATTTGTCAAGGCTGTTCAGCTGTGTTGTCAAAATATTTCTTTTGAAGATGAAGAAGATATATCAAAAAATTTGATTAGTTTCTTTAATGATTATGTCACGTAAGTTAATTATTAATTTCCTTATAAATATTTGTAATTATCTAATTTTTTTTATTTATTTAGTTATTATGATCAAAACTCAAAAGAATGATTGAGTATATTTATAATGACTTTTCACTACTTGCTACATATTAAAGAATGTATTACTCAATCAGAACCATGTTGGAATTATTGGCAATTCCCTCTTCACAACAGATATCATCCTTACACCAACCTAGTTAAAAATATCGAATATTCAATCATTTACCTTTTTTGGAACACCTCATTTATCCGAACCCAATATCCAGACATTTCAAATGATTCTATCTTTTATTTTAAGGAAGATGTAGAGCAACTATGGTGGCCCCGAAAACATATTACACTAAAAGAAAATGAATTTTGACAGTACGTGCTTGGTATAATGCTCACATGGCTGGAAGATTTCGAATAGATCAGGTTAGAAATCTTAAATATTAATTTAAATTTATAATTAATATTATTCCAATTTAGTTATCGCCAAATGGTGTTCGATATGCACGATTTTTAACTAAAGATGGCTATTTAATTGGATCAAAAATCTCATTCGAGACCCTTTATTATCCCGAAACAACAGTTGTGTATTGGTAAGTGTGAGATATCTTTGAATTTACTATTATTAATCTTAATGAGATCAATTTTTAGTTTGAAATTAATGAAACTGCGCCAAGTACAAGACATAATTCAAATCTCCAAAACATCGAGAAGACATATTATGGACGTGTCTTATTCTATTTTCGGCATACTTATAATGATGCAAGTGTAATGCTTGCATACATAAATTGGGCCAAGATTATTCCGAATCATTCTAATGAATCTACATTATCTGTAAAAGATTTATTGAGTAAGGAGCATCGCAATTCTATGAGATCAGTTGTCTAAAACGTATAGTTGGATATTTTGACACGGGAAGAGATAAATTTATCATGGATAAAAATGATATGAACGAAAGTAGTATAGCAAGATGCAGGGTCCAGTAATTTCCGCCGTCGATCTTAATTTCCGCCGCTAATCTGTAAACAATTATAATTTAAGTTCCTTCTTTGTATTCCTATATTATGTCATAATGTCAGAATCAATTATATATCCAGTAATGGGTTCTGTAAAAAACTCCTTTTGCATTATGATTAATGTTCAGCATTGGTTTTAGTTCTATAAAAATTGCGTAAAAATTCCGTATTGCATTGCGAATTGATTCCGTATTGAGTATAAATTCCAGTTCGCATTCCGAAAATTTACTGGTTCCGTAAATATCAGTCTTAAATTCCGAAAAAATTCCGTATTTGGTATCGGTTCCGTAATAATTCCCTCTTTTAAAAAAAATATCTAAAAGTCTAAACTCACAGTCCAGTATTAATTCCTTCTCTTTTCCGAAACAATTCCTTATGGTTCCGGTTATTAAGTATCAATTCCGATAAAATTCCGGGGGACTTTCTCATAGGGCCGACTGTTGCATTAATTACCATTACTTTGCCTGGAATTCTGATTATTGGTTATCTGTTTGATGTTTATAGTTTTTTTCGGATTTATTACTATTAAATTACTTCTTCAAATTACCATTAAGCTCGATCAGTAAATTATCTACTTTGGGATCTAGGTCACAATTAACTGCCAGGCTATTAACTTCTTTGGGATTTTTGATTAACATAAGCGGATTTTTAAGTAACAAGGCACGAAAGCATTTACAATCAGATTATAGGTTCAAGATGTTGAGCATCAATTCATTTTGTAATAAACGAAATTATTAAAGGTATAATTGATAACTAAGCTCTTTTTAAAGAGGAGGTAGTTAGGAAGCCATAATTAATTTTCCTATCGAATAAAATACTACGCAATGATGCTGATTCGCAAAAATTCTAGGGTTTGAAAGGATAAAAATAGTTGACCATTGCATCATCAACACATTAAAGCCAAATATCTTGTTTAACTTTATATTTGTTTAGAGACTCGATAAAATCATTCTTACATTAAGTAAAAATATCGCCTTTTTGCATTTATGTACCATCAATAAACTCTTATATTAATTTATGTCTACTATATTTATTTCCGAAAGATTATGATTTATAGCGATAAATTTGAAATGCATACACAATTTTATTAACATTATAAGCAAATACCAAAAATATATGTTATACAGAGAAACCTCCTTAAATTGACCTCGGGATCATAGTGAAAGAGCCAATGTGCGCATTTAGATAAGATATGCGTTTATAGAGAGCAAAATATATAGAGCACTTATATCTTTGGACCAAGCCATGCTTGCAATTAAAGTAGGGGGAGCGTTTAGGGAGGTTGTTTTGTACAATAAAGGCCTACCTACATACTAAATCTGAACTTTTTACAAATGCTAAATCTTAGACCTATTATATTTTCATACAAAATAGTATATTATGTGCTAATTAATCAAATACAGCATAATTCTTGCCTGGCTCAAGAAAAATTATTGCTTTGTTGATATCACAATTCTCGTGCATGCATGGGATGCATGGTGTTTATTATAATGGTGCATATTCATAAATTTCTTAATTTTATTCCAACAAGAACTTTTTTCCGGAAAACAGCAGTAAATTCTTGAAGGTGTATTTTGAAAGATTGTATCTATACATACTTAAACAAACAGAGCTGCATATTTAATATTATACGGTCGTGTAAGCATATCACAAAGTAGTACAATTAAAGCCTAGCTACATTTAACATCTGAAAAAAGCGAACGTTCTTTCAATAAAATCCACTCGATATAATATAGTTACTATAAATTTTCAAAATCATCAATAGTGGATTTTGAAATAGTTGATAACAAAAATTTCCTGATACCAGAAATTTCTGAAACAATGTAAAATCTCTTATTTTAGAAATATGCTAAAGCGTTGCGAGTCATGTGATCAGTCTCCTTAAATTTTCAGAGTATACTATTAATGATTTAATGATTTATAAGGGTCTGGTAAGGGTATTTTTAGGGTAGAGAACAAGATTATATGTAAAATTGCCGTCCCGATATTTTTAATTAGTATTCTAAGAAAGATTTAGGCATTGGTTTTCTTATAAATATTTATTTTTCATATCTTGTGTCGGATTTGTTTTGCAGGTTGATCAAAAATTTGTGCACCACTATTGGATCCCGCTCAAAATCCCACTTTATCTAAATCCCGACTTCCCAATATCTCCAACATTCACAACTTCCCGATGCCCAAATCCCGAAAATTGTGTAATAAAATATTTATGTGAAATATATATAGTATCATATTTCTGAATTTTAAGATTTTTGAGTGTATGGTATTGAATATACAGACAATTCGGTAACATCGGGATCACCCCTTTATATACGCTTATCATTATTATAAAATAATTGTAAACTATTATTGGTAGTGTCTCATAACACTTAAAATTCCCACAAATTCAAATTAATTTCTCACCTCGTAATATTAACATTGATATTTGTTTACTATGCAACTCCTAATACTAATAATTTCTTATTCCACAATCTCGGGATTTTTATTATTAACAAAATTCGTATTGATTTCATACTTTGTGCATTTTTCTCCTATTTTATAATTAGCAATAATATTTAATTTTTAAATTCTTGCTTTATAATATTAAATTCTTATTAAATACTTATTCAGTGATCTAGATGTTTTCTTTATAACAAAGTTCTTGCTAATTACACAAGATAGTTGTGTAATGACCAAATTGTATGTATAGGATGGTTTGAAAAGTGAGCAATATATCTTTTAAAAAATAAATATTAATTATTTTTAATTCTTATCTAAACAATGCTTCATTCGTGCTCAACGAATCGATAGCCTTAATTTACTTTATGCTGAACAAAAATTACCTTAAAATTAGGTGCACATATTTGATTATTTCATTTTAATTCATATCGTTGTTTTGGAATTCCTATTTGTAATTTGAGTTAGTTATTTTTCTTTAGTTGAATTAATGAATTTTTTCTTTTGAATTTTTTCTTTTGAATTTTTTCTTTTGAATTTTTTCTTTGAATTTTTTCTTTGAATTTTTATTTGATTACACATTACCTTCACAATCGTATCCACTTCGTGCAAATCATTTAGTTTAGCTCGCAAATTGCTACATCTTCAATTCTTTAGTCAACCTCACTTATAAATTAAGTGTAACAATATAAAGAGGGTCGTTATATATTTGTTTAGTATTTTTTTGTTCATGTTTGTCATTAATAGACATATCCAAGCATCTGATGTTGCCAGCATTTGCTAATAAGCATAACATCTTCTCATCTTATTGAAGATTAAGACATGTTATTATATGGCGTTTACTTACCAAATAATATGGAAACTATTATAAACGAATAAATATATCAATATAACAATAAATGATTTCATCAAACTTTTTAATTTATTTTGAACAACAAATACTTTCAAAGATTTACTCTAATGAATTATAATAATAACACATTTTTATATATAAAAATATTTGAGTGGTTACTAATGTACACAAACAAACTTTATAAGATAAAATCTTCAGTCTGACTAAAAAATTTATTTTATAAAGAAATTGTATTATAAGATAAAGTTTATTATAAATAAACTTAGACTAGCTTTATCTTATAGTGACTTTACCTTATAGAGATTGACTGTGTAATTCAATGAGATTGGCACAATTTTATTTATGAGTAATCATATATAGGAAAGCAATTAGAACAAAAAGGTTCTTTAAAACAATATTTAATATTTAATAACAATTGGTTCCAGAAATATCGAGTTATAAATACATTTTTATATAATATTTTATAAAGTGCTATTATATAAATGATGAAATTTTTGCTTGGCAGATTTGCATTTGGATATATTATAAAAAAATTGTAATTTCTAATTTTTAAATTATAATATTTTCATTTTATAAAATACTTATTATTCATGTTTGGAAACATTTATTTTAAAGTATCTTGGCTACTTTATGTAGTTTGTTTTATCTTGTGCTGAATATCAGAATAATTTCAATTTTGTTTCTAAGTTTATTAATCAGATCACAGTTTTTTGATATCAAACAGTAAGAATGAGAGAACATAAGAACCGATAGATAAAAATTATAAATTCTTAGAAATACATTATTTCACTAAAATATACCTTGTGTTACAAATTTTCTCTAAATGCACCCTTCATAAGTAAATATATTCAACTATATTTGAATCTGTTTTCCATGAGAATTCATTAAAAGTATACACTTAAATTTATATAATTTATATCATAAATATATATTTTCAAAACTTTTTAAGAATTATTTTCATATATTCTTCATTATAAAAGATTATTTTCCATTCAAAGTTTGTAGTTATTATTACTGTTATTCTTAAGATTAACCAAATTAATGAAATAATCGATATAGTAATCAAGAATCAAATACAGATGGATTTTTCTTTTTTGTTTTCAGTTCCAGTATGCATAAATCTAAGGTGCATTCCAACTAATAATACCTGACGAAACTATACAATGATGAATGACGTGAACCTGCAACTATTGATGAACCTCTAACGATTGATGAAATCTGTGATGATTGTCTAAACTGGAATTTTCTACTACAGAAAAGATACTACTGATACTGCAAACTACAAAAGCTTTTAATAAGGAACTATTTATAGACCTCTATCTGAAAAAATTAGATTTTTTAAAACAAAATATCAAATAATTAGTTACTATATGCAATATAGAATTATAAATAATAAAATTTGATTTGATTATATACTTTACAAATTAATTATTATTTGATAATTTTGGCCAAATGATCTATAAGATTTGGTCAAAAATTTCATTTTAATCTGTGATATTTACTATATGTATAGTGTTTAATAAAAAAAATAACAGTTGAAGATAATAAATTAGTTATAATTAAAGAATAACAAAATGTGTTTGATTACATGATTCCTATTATTAATACTTATTTATTTACATTTTGTTAAATATATAAATCATAAACTTTCTCTATCTTTTTCTATTTTATTTATAAAATCTTGCAAAAACATGATTAGTACAAGACTTGAAGCTCAACATCAAACTATTTTACTTTTGTGGCAAAATAATATCATTTCAGCAAAGGAAATACATCAAAAAACTTGTATTTCTTTTTGTACTATTAAGCAAAATATCCAAAAACTCAAAAAAACAGGTAGCATTAAATGTAAATATATTAATAAGTA